TGTCCTGGCCGGTCAGGACAACAGAGTGAGCTGTTTAGGAGTACCTGATGACGGGATGGCTGTGGCCACGGGATCATGGGACAGTTTCCTTCGGATCTGGAACTGAGAGCGGTATTAAAATCTCCAGCTCATTTCCTTCGGTCCATTTCTACGTCTTTCCACAGCAGTTCCTCTGTATTCCAGTTATTACACATGATGTTCAGTAAGTAGATGAATCCCGTGGAGAAGCCAATCATCACTGCCGGCCACAGGAATTATAGGAAGAGATTATTAAAGTGTCATTGTGTAATATGTAAATATTCATGTATATGAATATAGATATGGTATATATGTACAGCATTATGTGTATTTATATACCATATAGTATATACATACATAGTGTTCATGTATATATTTTTCTAGTTGATCATTGGCGCATGACATTTTTATTAATCTTTCACTTTTTTTGTAAATTTTTTTTTTTTGTACATAGAAAGCAACGCTAAACTAGATGGAACATTGCAAACAGTCTGCATTACAAAAAGTTTGTGACGTTTTTGTGCATTAGAAAACAAAAGCGTAAAACACATGGATTTTTTTTTTATGCAGATGAAAACCTTTTGGGGTGTTTTTACATGCCACTAAATCAATCATCATTTATTGGTGCTTGAGTGTGTTTGAAAAGAAGGCACTGAATTTTCTCGCAGCCTTGAGATCGAATGTTTAATTCGAAGCATTTTGACGCCATGTTTTTAGGAGTTTTGATTTTGATTTCATCAAAAAATCGATCATAATCGATCTGCCCTTGAACTTCAACCTTAAATACTAGCGATCACAATATAACTAATCCTAGTGTATAAATTCCTATTCTTGGTGCTTGCAAAGAAATCTGTGCTTCGAATGAATTCATAACGCTCGCTTTTTCAATTTTAATATTTGAACTGGCCACAAACCCTCTTAAATTTAAATGTTGCAGTGTTACAAAGATGGAACGTCTTGAAAACAGTACAAATATTTTTATTGGTGTTAGTTCATTTGAATGCTTTTTTTTGCGACCTCTCATTTTCAGCATGTAAATGTGTGCATACAGGTGGAAATGAAGAACACTACCTGGTCAGGATAGTTAAACTGCTGACAAGTCACTATATTAGGCTTCATTTTTCTATGGATCAAAAAACGTAGACCAGAGCGATGAAGCGGTTTACTCACTTTCGCCATATTTAAGTGCCATCGGTTCTGACAGTATGCCTGTGTTTGTTGCGGTTGCCAGATTGATGCTGGTTTGTAACCAGCTTAACAAGCCTCATTAAAACGGTGACATTTGTGCCATTGTTAACGCTTTTAACACGTCATGTAACTGTGAAAAGCATTTAAAATCTTTCTTTTACTTTACCTTTTTATATAAAAGGGAATCGGAATGCAGCTTTGAGGTATTCAAATATGTATTTTTTTTCTGTAAGAAGTCCTTTTTCAGTATGAAGATGCTTATTAGCATAAATAAAAACCCTTTCACTGCTCCATAAATGTTTTTTGCTGAATTTTATGATGGTTAACTGTGAAAAGGGATGTCTTTGGTAATAATGTCTTATTTAGAAGTCACTTTGAATTCAATTTAAACAGGAATTATGCTGGTATTATAAGTATTGGTTAGATTTGAGTCAGATTTCTGTTGTTGGTGGTACTGTAGAGGTTGCAAGATTGCCGATCAGTGATTCTGTTTGTGGTTGTTTTATTATGATCATGTTGAAGATTTGAGTGGTTGGTTCTGGATCCGCTGAAATCGGCAGTTTTAACATATAGCTGCCGTAAGAGTGGCTGAAATGCTGATGTAGTCTTTCAGAGCTTTAATGAAAACCATGGATGACTTTTCCAAATGCGTTTAGGGTTTTTTTTTCCCCAATTATTTCCAAACCACTCAAACTTGGCAACAAAAGAACATTTTTAGTATTACAGTACATGCTAGAACCCCAATGTTTTAAGTATTCATAAGATACTTTTGGCTCGATTTGTAAGCTTTTTCTTCTTCTTTGAACCAATAAAACCAGGAGTGTGGTGCCTTGTGTACTTTCACAGTGCCATATTGTCAAATAATCATTTAATAACATTTAGTTTCTCAACTTTTTCGTATTTGTAAAGTAACCTGGTGATAATGCTGCCATACACTGATATTGTAACCAATAAAAATACTTTTAACCACATCTTAATGTGTTCGGATTGATTTGTCTCTTAAACTTGTGTAATTATATTTGAATATGGATGTTAGGGCTGTATATCTTGGGAAAGTTATATTACATGCCGTCTTCAACTGAAAACAAAAGACTGATCAAAACATTTAATCAGTTTTTCATAGGCGTTTTCACTTAAAAGTATATCTTTTGTGTAAACGAGAGAGAAGCGAAAAGCATACACTTCGGTTCACAGCGTCACTTATATTCGAAGATCGTCCTGTTTTTCTTTAATCTTACTTGTAAAGAACCTGCAGCTTAATATTATGTTGCCATTATTATATGTTAATTTTAATGTCTATGTCAAAAATCACTGATATAATTGTGTGCGAGAACTTGCTTCAGAAATTCGCGCCACTTCGTCTCAGAATCCTGGCGCGCGCTCTGGATTAAAAAGCCTGCGAATGTCCGAGAGAACCACTGTTGCCAAGTTCGTGGTTTTCCCGTGGAATTGGGCAACTTTAAAGGGGTCATATGATGCGATTTCAATTGTTCCTTTCTCTTTGGAGTGTTACGAGCTCTTGGTGCATAAAGAAGATCTGTAAAGTTGCAAAGACTAAAGTCTCAAATCCAAAGAGATATTCTTAATAAAAGTTAAGAGTTAACCACGCCTACCTAAAACGCCTCGTTCTAACACGCCCCCACATATCTACCTCACGATGTGGGAAGATTTGCATAACGCCGCCCAAATGTGCACGCAAAGAAAGAAGGCGTAACTTTTATTCTCGCTGTAGTATTGTCGCCATGTCGTGAAGGCGCTGTGTGTTTCGTTGTGAAAGCGAAACTACTTTGTTTGGTCTTCCAAAAGAGGACGATATCCGCTTCGTCATTCCTGGAGCTGATCCGTTCTGGTTGCTGAGGGAATACATCAACTTTGCGCTGTGGATCGCCGGATCGGCTTTCACCGTCGACGAAGCGGAGTCCAGCCCGGGGTTGTCACATATCCTTCCGGACGCTCCTTCGTCGAAATCGCCGGCCGCGCCGTTCTCAAGCCCGCCCGCATCCTGATCCTGGGAGAGTAGACTACAATGTCGGCTGCTCTGACTCAGACTGCAAGTACGGTTTTTTTTTATATTTGAGGAGTTTTTATATTTTATATATTTAAAGCAAGTTTTTTGGGCAGATTTCATTACACCAAATACACAAAATACTGTTCCTTTTAGCAGCAGCATCATGACCCCTTTAATACCGTTGCCGCAGGTTGTTTTTCTTGTCCGCGGGTTTAAGCGACCCCAATCACGTGATATTTAGCCCCTAAAATGCTAATTTTACCAGTGGATCCACGCCAAAAACCGTGTATTTTACCTCATTTGGATTCGGAAGGTGAGCAGTTTTTTGCAACGCTGTCAATAACCTCGCTGTCCATCTGTAAAAGTTCTTTACTGGGATTAATAGTGCAATATCCAAACATAAGAAAACGTAGAGTTTCTTTAACAGTAATACAACAATTTAGTAATGTTTTATAATATTGTTTTTATTACACAGGAGAAACTTATTTTCAGGATATTACATTTACATACGTTTAGAAATAGAATAGAATTTTAACACTGGGTTATACTGATTCAAACTGCAACCAAGGAACGTATAGAAAATAGGCTTTGTGATCAAAAGGCAAATCTACAAAAATCTGAATTCCCTGTCTGATGACATGAACTCTGTTTCTGAATAAAAAGGCTGGGTATAAGTATGAAATAAATTGACTCCTTCATTAGGCTGAACCTGAACAGCAAAACTGACTCAGTTTTCAAATTCCAGCTTTTTACCCTCATGTTTTGCTTAATAGGGCAGCTTCACAGTTCACAAAAGTGTTTTTAAGTCCCGTTCCAGTGAAACTGAATCTCTGTACAGAAAAACCTCAACCAAAACAGCACTGAAACCACCTTTACTTCAAGAATACACATTTTAGTGTTAACTACAAGTAACATTTTTCCCCCTTGCATTCCTTGCAACATCTGGTGAGTTGAGAATTCCCGAAACAGCAGGGCGTAACAGTATACAGGAGTTACATCACTCTCTGGAAGGAGCCAGTGTGTCCGTGTGAACAGAATCAGGGTTGAGGACGAAGATACTGGGAGCTGAAATCCTCTAACTGCTTTTCTAGGGCCGTGGCTTTATGTCTAGGAAAGAAAATGTGTCCATTATTACAAACGCCTCTAAATGATCGATAGAGGAGATGTGGAAGATCTCACGTTTTTAAGGTGCAACTCAAAGCTTGACAGAAATACAGAAGTCTCAAGATGCATTTGTTAAATGGATATGGAGTCTAAATCACTTTGGTTACTTTGGAAATGTAATAGGTTACCGATTAGAAATTACCCTATTTAAAATTTCAATTACTTTATTAATATAACGGATTACATTCGATTACTTTTCTAAATTTGTAACCAATGTTTTCAAAAGTTAATCATTTCCAAACATGTAAAGCAGGCAGGGTTATCTTTACAGTAGAACTCAACACTGATTACTATCAGACTTTCAGAATCCTTCTTCACTTATTAAGATTATCATAATTAATTTTAAAGCACAGCCACCACAGAATCAGACTTTAGCAGCTATGTTTACTTCGAGACTTCAACATTCTGTGGTTAAATACAGGTTTAAAATCAATAAAAAAATAAAGCATATACACTGATCTCAATAAATGTTTTCTATTATAGATCAGTGAGCATATACATAAACCCAAATGGGAAATAAAACCGTTATGGAATAAGCACGTGTCCTAAACTCCTGAAACATTGCTGTCTCATATTTTAGAGCAATCGCTGCAATTTATGAAAGAAATCAATCAAATCTGTATATGTGTGAAAATATTCAGATGTAACGTTTTCATAAGTAACTAATTTAATTACACATTTTTTTCTCAGTAACTATAACTACTAGAATTACGTAATTCTGTTACATGTAACTAGTTACTTCCCGACACTGACCTGAGCACTTTGGATCGCTTATGTACACTTTCCAGCTTCTGGATCTTGTCAGTGAGGCGTTGGATGTCATTCTCCAGGTCCTTCTGGGTAATGTCGACTTGCTGGCAGAGTCGAGCGAATGTGCTGCCGATTTCTCTGTATCAGACACACAAGAACACTTTAAAATGATTTTCTACTTGCATGCACAGACTTGCACTTGAGCTGTCAATAGCAGTGTATTCATCTCAAAACGACTGTATAGTCCACACATGGAACATAAACATATTCATATCGGTGTTTCTGCATCCAAATATGGACAACAACTTCATCACGGACCAAACCCTGATGTAAACACTTACTGCTGCACTTGGTGGCTGCAGTTTGAGCTGGTGAAACTGATGATCATTTGAAGTTTCTCTGTGGCGTAATCCACAAACTGTTTCTTCAGGGCTCTTTCCTTGGCTTTGGTGGTCCAGGTGAGTTTTTGGTGTTTCTGCATCCAAATATGGACAACTTCATCACGGACCAAACCCTGATGTCAAATGGACTCTGATGTGTAAACACTTACTGCTGCACTTGGTGGCTGCAGTTTGAGCTGGTGAAACTGATGATCATTTGAAGTTTCTCTGTGGCGTAATCCACAAACTGTTTCTTCAGGGCTCTTTCCTTGGCTTTGGTGGTCCAGGTGAGTTTTTCATACAGGTACAGCACGCCGTACAGACTCATGGAGAGAGCGATCAGACGCCAGCCAACTGTTCGCCACACCTAACAGAAGATATAGAGATGAACTTCAATAACGCATTCATTTACACTCGTGGGAAGTTGAGGTCACATTTACCGTCATTCGGGGAGTTTTGTGGGTGGATTGGAATTGGGGATTTCGCACGAGGGCAAAATATTTCCCCACACAGGTTTCGCAAATTCACAGCTCGGTCATTCTGTGCCAAATCAACCAAATTTCAGAAACCTACCTGGCTAAAAAAAAAACGTTTTTTCTGAAGAAAGTATTCAAAAGCCAAAATATTCAATACCATGGATGAATATTTACGGAGTAATCCACTATTTTGTAGAGGGGGTCAAAATGAGATTTGGAGCCAAATTACAGCAGGTGGAAAATAACTTTAGAAAGATGGCAGCATCATTATTTTGTTTTTACACAGAGATTGGTAGCTCCATTCGTAAAATCCGTTGACTTTAGCAATCTTTGTTGCATTATATGCCAACGGTGACCATTCAAAACTGGGGAAAAGCTGTTTTGTTTTGTTTTCTCCAAAGTTTGCATGGCTGTAACTCGAGAAGTATTAAATATACCTTAATATCCTTTTAGATTTTGGTTCAACAGATTTAAATTTTTAAGACTCTATATGGTTCAATTGAGTTACAGGCATGCAAACTTTTGGAGGAAAATGTGAGAAGTACTTTTTCCCAAATTTGAGCTGTCACCATTGACATGTAATGCAACAAAGATTGCTACAGTCAACAGATTTTACTAATACAGCTACCAATCTCTGTGTAAAAATAACAATGATGCTGCCATCTTTCTACAGTCATTTTGCTCCAAATTGTGCTAATGTGACCACATCTTCACACAAGGAATGGTCACTCACATGATTTTATAAGTATGTCTTAATTTAGGAAGCTCATTGCAGCTTATTCTGGCCAGGAACCGCCCAATTAGACAGGAAGTGGCCATCTGACTGTCACCTATAATAATATATAATATAATAAAAAATAAAAGTTATTCTAAAGCATTAACGAGCAATAATTCTCACCACTCCTCCAACGATGATCACGCTCATAGACGTGCGGGAAGTGACCGAGGCCAGGTTGCTCACCATGGACATCATGAGTTCTTCCTGCGTCAGTGATTGCTGATTCTGACCTTGAGCTCTGGGGACTGGAGACTGAACCCCTGCTGGGGCCGAAGGGGTGGTTGGCACCGTCAGCTGAGTAAAAGACAACAATAAACCATTAAAAAATTCCATTCAGACTAGGGATGCGCGATATTATCGGACCGATATCGGAATCGTCCGATAATGGCTTGAAATGTAAATATCGACATCAGCCCAATATGAAAAATTATGCCGATATGCCTTGCCGATAAAAGGATTAACTCACATTTGCTCAGGGTGTGCAAGCGATTAAATCATGTCAGCAGTGTGGTCATTCTTGAAGTGAACTTTTGCCGATAATGGCTTAAAATGTAAATATCGGCATCGGCCTGATATGAAAAATTATATCGATAAGTGGATTAACTCACATGTGCTCAGGATGTGCAAGCGATTAAATCATGTCAGCAGTGTGGTCATTCTTGAAGTGAACTTTTGCCGATAATGGCTTAAAATGTAAATATCGGCATCAGCCCAATATGAAAAATTATGCCGATATGCCTTGCCGATAAAAGGATTAACTCACATGTGCTCAGGATGTGCAAGCGATTAAATCATGTCAGCAGTGTGGTCATTCTTGAAGTGAACTTTTGCCGATAATGGCTTAAAATGTAAATATCGGCATCAGCCCAATATGAAAAATTATGCCGATATGCCTTGCCGATAAAAGGATTAACTCACATGTGCTCAGGATGTGCAAGCGATTAAATCATGTCAGCAGTGTGGTCATTCTTGAAGTGAACTTTTGCCGATAATGGCTTAAAATGTAAATATCGGCATCAGCCCAATATGAAAAATTATGCCGATATGCCTTGCCGATAAAAGGATTAACTCACATGTGCTCAGGATGTGCAAGCGATTAAATCATGTCAGCAGTGTGGTCATTCTTGAAGTGAACTTTTGCCGATAATGGCTTAAAATGTAAATATCGGCATCAGCCCAATATGAAAAATTATGCCGATATGCCTTGCCGATAAAAGGATTAACTCACATGTGCTCAGGATGTGCAAGCGATTAAATCATGTCAGCAGTGTGGTCATTCTTGAAGTGAACTTTTGCCGATAATGGCTTAAAATGTAAATATCGGCATCAGCCCAATATGAAAAATTATGCCGATATGCCTTGCCGATAAAAGGATTAACTCACATGTGCTCAGGATGTGCAAGCGATTAAATCATGTCAGCAGTGTGGTCATTCTTGAAGTGAACTTTTGCCGATAATGGCTTAAAATGTAAATATCGGCATCAGCCCAATATGAAAAATTATGCCGATATGCCTTGCCGATAAAAGGATTAACTCACATGTGCTCAGGATGTGCAAGCGATTAAATCATGTCAGCAGTGTGGTCATTCTTGAAGTGAACTTTTGCCGATAATGGCTTAAAATGTAAATATCGGCATCAGCCCAATATGAAAAATTATGCCGATATGCCTTGCCGATAAAAGGATTAACTCACATGTGCTCAGGATGTGCAAGCGATTAAATCATGTCAGCAGTGTGGTCATTCTTGAAGTGAACTTTTGCCGATAATGGCTTAAAATGTAAATATCGGCATCAGCCCAATATGAAAAATTATGCCGATATGCCTTGCCGATAAAAGGATTAACTCACATGTGCTCAGGATGTGCAAGCGATTAAATCATGTCAGCAGTGTGGTCATTCTTGAAGTGAACTTTTGCCGATAATGGCTTAAAATGTAAATATCGGCATCAGCCCAATATGAAAAATTATGCCGATATGCCTTGCCGATAAAAGGATTAACTCACATGTGCTCAGGATGTGCAAGCGATTAAATCATGTCAGCAGTGTGGTCATTCTTGAAGTGAACTTTTGCCGATAATGGCTTAAAATGTAAATATCGGCATCAGCCCAATATGAAAAATTATGCCGATATGCCTTGCCGATAAAAGGATTAACTCACATGTGCTCAGGATGTGCAAGCGATTAAATCATGTCAGCAGTGTGGTCATTCTTGAAGTGAACTTTTGCCGATAATGGCTTAAAATGTAAATATCGGCATCAGCCCAATATGAAAAATTATGCCGATATGCCTTGCCGATAAAAGGATTAACTCACATGTGCTCAGGATGTGCAAGCGATTAAATCATGTCAGCAGTGTGGTCATTCTTGAAGTGAACTTTTGCCGATAATGGCTTAAAATGTAAATATCGGCATCAGCCCAATATGAAAAATTATGCCGATATGCCTTGCCGATAAAAGGATTAACTCACATGTGCTCAGGATGTGCAAGCGATTAAATCATGTCAGCAGTGTGGTCATTCTTGAAGTGAACTTTTGCCGATAATGGCTTAAAATGTAAATATCGGCATCAGCCCAATATGAAAAATTATGCCGATATGCCTTGCCGATAAAAGGATTAACTCACATGTGCTCAGGATGTGCAAGCGATTAAATCATGTCAGCAGTGTGGTCATTCTTGAAGTGAACTTTTGCCGATAATGGCTTAAAATGTAAATATCGGCATCAGCCCAATATGAAAAATTATGCCGATATGCCTTGCCGATAAAAGGATTAACTCACATGTGCTCAGGATGTGCAAGCGATTAAATCATGTCAGCAGTGTGGTCATTCTTGAAGTGAACTTTTGCCGATAATGGCTTAAAATGTAAATATCGGCATCAGCCCAATATGAAAAATTATGCCGATATGCCTTGCCGATAAAAGGATTAACTCACATGTGCTCAGGATGTGCAAGCGATTAAATCATGTCAGCAGTGTGGTCATTCTTGAAGTGAACTTTTGCCGATAATGGCTTAAAATGTAAATATCGGCATCAGCCCAATATGAAAAATTATGCCGATATGCCTTGCCGATAAAAGGATTAACTCACATGTGCTCAGGATGTGCAAGCGATTAAATCATGTCAGCAGTGTGGTCATTCTTGAAGTGAACTTTTGCCGATAATGGCTTAAAATGTAAATATCGGCATCAGCCCAATATGAAAAATTATGCCGATATGCCTTGCCGATAAAAGGATTAACTCACATGTGCTCAGGATGTGCAAGCGATTAAATCATGTCAGCAGTGTGGTCATTCTTGAAGTGAACTTTTGCCGATAATGGCTTAAAATGTAAATATCGGCATCAGCCCAATATGAAAAATTATGCCGATATGCCTTGCCGATAAAAGGATTAACTCACATGTGCTCAGGATGTGCAAGCGATTAAATCATGTCAGCAGTGTGGTCATTCTTGAAGTGAACTTTTGCCGATAATGGCTTAAAATGTAAATATCGGCATCAGCCCAATATGAAAAATTATGCCGATATGCCTTGCCGATAAAAGGATTAACTCACATGTGCTCAGGATGTGCAAGCGATTAAATCATGTCAGCAGTGTGGTCATTCTTGAAGTGAACTTTTGCCGATAATGGCTTAAAATGTAAATATCGGCATCAGCCCAATATGAAAAATTATGCCGATATGCCTTGCCGATAAAAGGATTAACTCACATGTGCTCAGGATGTGCAAGCGATTAAATCATGTCAGCAGTGTGGTCATTCTTGAAGTGAACTTTTGCCGATAATGGCTTAAAATGTAAATATCGGCATCAGCCCAATATGAAAAATTATGCCGATATGCCTTGCCGATAAAAGGATTAACTCACATGTGCTCAGGATGTGCAAGCGATTAAATCATGTCAGCAGTGTGGTCATTCTTGAAGTGAACTTTTGCCGATAATGGCTTAAAATGTAAATATCGGCATCAGCCCAATATGAAAAATTATGCCGATATGCCTTGCCGATAAAAGGATTAACTCACATGTGCTCAGGATGTGCAAGCGATTAAATCATGTCAGCAGTGTGGTCATTCTTGAAGTGAACTTTTGCCGATAATGGCTTAAAATGTAAATATCGGCATCAGCCCAATATGAAAAATTATGCCGATATGCCTTGCCGATAAAAGGATTAACTCACATGTGCTCAGGATGTGCAAGCGATTAAATCATGTCAGCAGTGTGGTCATTCTTGAAGTGAACTTTTGCCGATAATGGCTTAAAATGTAAATATCGGCATCAGCCCAATATGAAAAATTATGCCGATATGCCTTGCCGATAAAAGGATTAACTCACATGTGCTCAGGATGTGCAAGCGATTAAATCATGTCAGCAGTGTGGTCATTCTTGAAGTGAACTTTTGCCGATAATGGCTTAAAATGTAAATATCGGCATCAGCCCAATATGAAAAATTATGCCGATATGCCTTGCCGATAAAAGGATTAACTCACATGTGCTCAGGATGTGCAAGCGATTAAATCATGTCAGCAGTGTGGTCATTCTTGAAGTGAACTTTTGCCGATAATGGCTTAAAATGTAAATATCGGCATCAGCCCAATATGAAAAATTATGCCGATATGCCTTGCCGATAAAAGGATTAACTCACATGTGCTCAGGATGTGCAAGCGATTAAATCATGTCAGCAGTGTGGTCATTCTTGAAGTGAACTTTTGCCGATAATGGCTTAAAATGTAAATATCGGCATCAGCCCAATATGAAAAATTATGCCGATATGCCTTGCCGATAAAAGGATTAACTCACATGTGCTCAGGATGTGCAAGCGATTAAATCATGTCAGCAGTGTGGTCATTCTTGAAGTGAACTTTTGCCGATAATGGCTTAAAATGTAAATATCGGCATCAGCCCAATATGAAAAATTATGCCGATATGCCTTGCCGATAAAAGGATTAACTCACATGTGCTCAGGATGTGCAAGCGATTAAATCATGTCAGCAGTGTGGTCATTCTTGAAGTGAACTTTTGCCGATAATGGCTTAAAATGTAAATATCGGCATCAGCCCAATATGAAAAATTATGCCGATATGCCTTGCCGATAAAAGGATTAACTCACATTTGCTCAGGGTGTGCAAGCGATTAAATCATGTCAGCAGTGTGGTCATTCTTGAAGTGAACTTTTGCCGATAATGTCTTAAAATGTAAATATCGGCATCAGCCCAATATGAAAAATTATGCCGATATGCCTTGCCGATAAAAGGATTAACTCACATGTGCTCAGGGTGTGCAAGTGATTAAATCACGTCAGCAGTGTGGTAATTCTTGAAGTGAACTTTTGCCGATAATGTCTTAAAATGTAAATATCGGCATCAGCCCAATATGAAAAATTATGCCGATATGCCTTGCCGATAAAAGGATTAACTCACATGTGCTCAGGGTGTGCAAGTGATTAAATCACGTCAGCAGTGTGGTAATTCTTGAAGTGAACTTTTGCCGATAATGATGATTAGATTCACTATTTTGGATCACTGCATTTAATTTGAGAATGCTTGCACAGAACGACGCCTCCGGAGTGCGAGAGTCAACAGTCACCCGGGTCCTAAAGCCCGTCCGGTAAGGTGTTTTATTTACTGAGGGGGTGCTGTTGGCCTACTTGTAATAAAAGTTAAAGTAAAATACACAAATAACATTTAGATTGTGTCTCTGATTAAATAAAGCAGTAATTGATGTCATAAAATCAAGAGTATGTTTTGATTTAAAGGTCAGAAGCTATAGCTTAATTGAATAAAATAAAAAAAAAAATCACAAACTGTAAATTAAATAATTTTATATACGTGACCCTGCAGCACAAAAGCAGTCATAAGTAGCACAGGTATATTTGTAGCAATAGCCAACAATACATTGTATAAGTCAAAATTATAAATTTTTCTTTTATGCCAAAAATCATTAATATATTAAGATCATGTTCCATGAACATATTTTGTAAACTCCCTACCGTAAATATATTAAAACTTAATTTTTGATTAGTATTATTAAGAACTTAATTTGGACAACTTTAAAGATGATTTTCTCAATATTTTAGTTTTTTTTTTTGCACCCTCAGATTCCAGATTTTCAAATAGTTTTTTATAATGACAGATAAATATATATAGTTATCTGTCATTATAAAAAACTCATTATTGTTTGTTTAATTCTAACAAATAAGTTTTTGTTAATAACTAACCAAAATTAAAAATAATTTGTTTATAATTTCCTCACAGGAGAGACTTGGTGTTGTTTCCAAACAAAAGAAAATATATATCGGTATCCGCCAAAAATGAGTTGAAACATATCGGCATATCGGCAAAAATCCAATATCATGCATCCCTAATTCAGACCAAAACATGGAGGCTGAAGGTCAAGTCCACACAAGCATCTCCATGCATCTCAGTGGAAACGCAGATTTCTGATTTATGTACCGGTAGGGTCTGATCCACCAGCATCAAGGCACGTTTGGCATTGGCGGGACCTAAGAAACGGTGGACCAGCGCAGTCCAGCCGAAAGAGAACTGGAACTCGATGTTCTCCTGGAAGTCTGAGCAAAGGGTGGCACAGTTGATGTCGTAGCTGAGCTCAAACTTCCTGCTGGGAATGAGCATGTGGAGCTGGCTCTGGGCAGCAGAGGGCAGCAGAGGCTTCAGACACTCTGGAAGCACAATAGGCAGGTAGATTACTAAACACACATTTATCACTGCATAAACTGTCCATATAGCGTTTGGTTTTATGGTTTAGCATTGCTACAGCAGATTGACACCAACGGAATAATAGCACTCAAGTACATACTAACCTTTGTAAAGAATTACATTAGCAACACTTCACCCATTATCAGAGATTGTCTATTAATAGGATTGTCACCCACTGGTGTTGAAATATCAAACGCAGGTCACTGTGTCTGTCTGTTCTCACATACCCATCATGTTTTGCTGAGACGACTGAACGGAGGCGTTTACTGCATCAGAACAGCGGAAGGCCAGATTCTTGCCCATGCCCTTCTCGATGTGGCTGAGAAGATCCTGCAGAAGATGAACAGATCAGATCAGGTACTGAAGGAGACGATCATTTCTAAAGCTACAAAAATAAACTAAAATAATAAATAATTTGAAAAAAAAAAAAATAATTTGCAAATAAATTCTTTAAAAATCCTACAATGTGATTTTCTGGATTTTTTTTCTCATTTTGTCTCTCATAGTTGAGGTATACCTATGATGAAAATTACAGGCCTCTCTCATCTTTTTAAGTGGGAGAACTTGCACAATTGGTGGCTGACTAAATACTTTTTTGCCCCACTGTATAAAAGACCAGGTACTGAATGAGATTTCTGAAGCAAAAATGTAACAAAAAAATAAATAATAATAATATATACATATGTTTACAAAGTATAATTAATATATATGTATATACACACACACACACACACACCGGGTGCTTAAATGTTTTTTTTTTTTAAGTATGCTTTTTTTAAAAATTCGATTAATCGCATCCAAAATATTATATTATGTCTGTATAAATACACACACATACATGTATATATTTAATGAAAATATGTTAGGTTTATATATTAAATATATTTATCTGTAATATAAATATATACATGTAAATATTTTCAATATATATACTGTATGTGTGTATTTATATAGACATAATAAATATACACAGTACACACAAACATGTTATGTAAACAAAAACTTATTTTGGATGTGATTAATCGTTTGACAGCACTAGTTTTAAAAATATAAATTATTGTTATATTTCTTTTTTTTTTACATTTGATGTTTAATATGCAGCGATGTAAAGGATTTTGGACCAAAAACATTTCACTGTGAGTGTGATGCAAATACAAAAACATACAAAAATGTAGTTAGTAACAGGTCAGCTGTGTTCATCCATGTAATTGTGACAGATCTATTCTGACACTCACAGATTTGTAGATTTTGAGCACGTGTGGTGACGGGTGGAAATCTGCACGAAACTCGTCTATGAGCACAGACAGACGGCAGATCTCTTCTGCCATGGCGTCTGACACCTGAAACACACAAACTACATGATCAATCCTTCACTGCTCTGGACTCTCTTTTTTATTTTTTATTTTAATGGAACCGACAAAATATATTTTTTAAAAGTTTGCATGTGTGTTTTTTTTTTTTTTTTGAGTATCATATTTGGTCCATCATGCTTTTATGGCTCATATATTCTCATCTGTGACCCTGGACCACAAAACCAGACATAAGGGTCAATTTGTTTAAAATTGAGATTTATACACCATCTGAAAGCTGAATAAATGAGCTTTCCATTGATGTATCGTTTGTTAGAATCGGACAATATTTGTCCGAAAATCTGGAATCTGAGGGTGCAAAAAAATCTAAATATTGAGAAAATCATCTTTAAAGTTGTTCAAATTAAGTTCTTAGCAATGCATATTACTAATCAAAAATTAAGTTTTGATATATTTACGGTAGGAAATTTACTCAATATCATGTAAACATGATCTTTACTTAATATCCTAATGATTTTTGGCATAAAAGAAAAATCAATAATTGTGACCCATACAATGTATTGTTGGCTATTGCTACAAATATACCCCAGCGACTTATGACTGCTTTTGGGTCACATATAGTGAGAATATGAAGGAAAAACAGCTCAATTTTATTTAGAGACTCAAACTGAGCATAAATATGCCGTTTTCTGCAGATGCTGATATTTCTATGATGAAATTCTGCTGCTTGTGATGTAAATAAATGAGATCTTTATAACAGTAGAGCAGATACTGACATAAAATGCTCTAAATATCAGTCGTCTCTATATCTGCAGTAATGTGTCTCAGTGAGATGAGATTGAAATGCTCCAAACATATAATGCAGTGATTGAGAGCTGAAGAAATAAAGGCTCCTCAGAAGATGTGAGATGTTCTGGAGGCTTGTGAAGATCATTCCTCCGCTGAGGAACAGTGAAAGTAAAGCTTCTGGAAACAAACGCTCCTCAAAAGATCCTGAGGATCAGATTTGAGACTCTAAAACATGATTGATGGAGAATCAAGTAAAGCTGAGCTGCTTCAGTCCAGTGAGTGATCATCTGGAGATATTACTGCAGTTATTAAGATTTTATCGCCCCGTCTCAACAGTGGATCCTCAGTTTTACCTTGTGTTTCACCTCCTCCGTGATGGCCTCGATTTTCTTCTTGATGTCCTGGATGAGCAGGTTGAGTTGACTGCGAACGAAATCCAGTCGGTCAAGCAGATACTCTCTCTCCTCCAGAGAAACCACCCTGAGATCAGAGATAAACACGTTATTACATGAATGATGATCACACGGGAAGCCAATATACATATTTAATACTCATAACTGAACTTATAATGTTCGTTAAGACTTTCTGGATTCATCTCAAAGACGAATCGCTTCAAAATAATCAGCTCTTCTGGTACTGGATCTTCTGCTACAATATTCCCAAAGTAAAGAGAAACAGACGCACCTCTTGTCCGCAGCGGCGATGTTGATTTGATCCATGATGTCTCTGACTGTTTCTGTGATCTGCTTTGCTCTGATTGTGTGCTGCTCAAACTTTGTTTTCACTGCTGAATGCGAGATACACTCCTGCGAGGTCACGCGCGCACACACACACACACACACACACACGCTACTGTGACAGGAGCCTTCATGTCCGACTTTAAAGGGTTAAAGGTTCAAACCTGCTGCAGGCGTGAAACTAAAACAACAAATTAAGAGCAAAAACTGCAGCAAATCTAAACCCTAAATGCCAGCGGCTCTCCAATTCACTCACAGTAGCATGAACATAAAAGCAAATCATATCAATAAAACACTGCGATGAACACAAAAGGCAAACATAAAACAATAGGAGGTCAAAAAGTCTCAAAGCACCACCTTTTTATCAAATTTAATAAAAATGTTCTTAATGTCTTAGTATTTACTGGGTTTAAATGAAATGTCTAGTTGTCAAAGAAGGCTGCACAATTAATCAAAATAGAACCAAAATCATTATGTGGCTTAGTGCAATTATCAAATTACAAAGGCTATGAATGAATTAAATACATTTCTGCACTGAATGTTTCATTTACAAGGGCGTCAAAATAAAAGTTCAATGGATTAAGTTTGAAAATAAATAAAGACAGCCATAATTAGTATTGTAATTTTACAGTTAAATATATTATATTATATGTCTCATATTTATATGCTAAGGTTTTTTTTTTAACCATTTTTAATGTTTTTTTTATATTTTTATTGAGTAATAATATGTATTATTATTATTAATTTATGTTGATATAATCACAAAATTACAATTTGGCCTAACTGTGCAGCCCTAGTCCAATAGCAATATTTCTTATTTTGTTTTTATTTAGTAATTTTTATATTTTTCTTTAGTAATAATAATAATTAACTTGGGAAAAACTTGGAACAGCTTCTGAATACAGTGGAAATCGAACTCATGGTTTTCAAAAAATGGTTTGATGATAATAGACTTTCACTGAATTTAAGTAAAACTAAATTTATAATATTTAGTAATCGACAAAGTAACAATAAAATTAAATTAAGGATTAACAATGAGGAAATAGAAAGAGTGTATGAAAATACATTTTTGGGTGTAATAATTGATCATAAATTATGTTGGAAACCACACATTAACCATGTAAAAACAAAAATGTCCAAATCTATTGCAATATTAAATAGAATAAAACATATTTTGAACGAAAAAACTTTATATATATATTGTATTGTGCGCTCATAGTTCCATACATTACTTATTGTGTGGAGGTGTGGGGTCATACTTATAAAACCAATATAAATGCAATATATATTTTACAAAAGAAAGCAATTAGGATTGTTAAAAGGGTTGATTATTACGAACCAACAAACAAATTGTTTATTAATTTACGTGCTTAAAAATTTGTCGATTTATGTACATCACAGATAATGCTCAAAGTTTATAATAATTTACTTCCAAATTGTATTCGGAGGCTGTTCAAAATAAGAGAAAGTCAGTATAATCTAAGAGGATTGCATATGTTTAAAAAAGTAAGGCCAAGAACTAATGCAAAAAGTAGGTGTTTATCTGTTAAAGGGGTAAATCTATGGAATACTTGTGATAAGGAATTCAAATTATGTAATTCACTCTGCAAATTCAAGAAAATGTATAAAAATAAGGTGTTAAATAATTATATGACTCAGTATCAATAATTGTGAATGTAATGTTACAATATTGAAGTAATAGCTGGGATGTGTATTTTTTGTTATGCTTGTTTTGAATTATGTATGTACATTTGGGGTAATGTTTTTGTAACATGTTTATCTTGTATTTTTTAATGAAAAGTGTCGCTCATCAGTTAACTGTGTATAAAGGGTAGGCATAATAAGCAAGGCTTCAGCCTACACCTTTTTCGGTAATTATGTTTATTTATTTATTTATTTTGTGAAAAGTTGTCTGTGAGGACCGAAATAAAATGATTGATTGATTGATTGATAATAACAATATCATTATTATTGCATAATCACAATATTATCACGAAATTTGCCCAAATTGTGCAGCGCTAGTCAATAGCAAAAGCACTATTTCTTCTTTTGTTTTTATTTAATACTTTTAATATTTTTCTTTAGTAATAATAATTATCATTATTAATTTATCACAAAACTTTGGCCAAATTGTGCAGCCCTACAAACAAGCACAGCAAACCTGGATTTTATTCTTTTTTTAAATCACATTCACATCTCGAATCAGTTTTTTTTTTTTAAATAAACCTGCCATTCGTTGCTTTTGTTCCTCTTTTGTAAGTTGCTTTGTATAAAAACATCTGCTAAATGCATAAATGTAAATCCTAGATTTCAATATAGTCTCAGATTTTTGGACTTCCCTGTATTTGTGTGATTCTTCTAAAAAAACACAATATTAACAAAAGCGCATTTGTATGAACACAGCAAAAGAAACTGAAATATACAGCAAAACAAGTCCATCCATACTAAACGAACAGAAGTGGGTGAAACAGAAATTCAAACCGAACTAAAGAAACGAATGTCCTCGCCTCAGTAAATCTAGACTTCAGCAATGACGACACAGATTGAGGAATACAGACGGTTCAGTGGAGAGAGACTGATGGGTTAAACTAACTAAACTCAACCAGATTAAACCCTGAACGCTGCTCAGATACTGGACTTAACCACACGAGGAGGAGACGAAAACCTGTCTAGAATCAGACTAGATAATGTTTGTAAGTCGCTTTGGATGAAAGTATCTGCTAAATGATTATATATATATATATATATATATATATAGTGAATCTAACAAAGCCTTTTAAGCACAAAATCGACAAGAAAAAAAAAGAAAATAAATTATATTGTTTATTTTAAAGAAAAAGCCCATTTTAGAACCATTAGGATCTTTTGAACATCTCACTAGTTCTTAATATTTCTAGTAATAGGCTTAATATTGTTTATGTACAATATAATGTTGATTTTGAGGCGAAATATGACCTGGATATGTCATATGTGACCCTGGACCACAAAATTAGTCATAAGGGTCAGTTTTTTGAAATTGAGATTTATGCATCATCTGGAAGCTGAATAAATAAGCTTTCCATTGATGTATGGTTTGTTAGGATCGGACAATATTTGGCCGAGATGCAACTATTTGAAAATCTGGAATCTGAGGGTGCAAAAAAATCTAAATATTGAGAAAATCATCTTTAAAGTTGTTCAAATGAAGTTCTTAGCAATGCATATTACTAATCAAAAATTAAGTTTTGATATATTTACGGTAGGAAATTTACTAAATATCTTCATGGAACATGATCTTTACTTAATATCCGTATGATTTTTGGCATAAAAGAAAAATCAATAATTTTGACCCATACAATATATTGTTGGCTATTGCTACAAATATCCCCCAGCGACTTAACACTGCTTTTGTGCTCCAGGCTCACATATTTTCTATCCTGTAGAATAACATCTCCTCCTGCATAATAGTGTGTCAAGAGCCGGACTCTCTGAAATAACTAGTGCTGGTTAATAAGTTTCCAGTGGCTCAAGCTTCATAAAGGAACAAGCTGTATATAATCATGCAGGGAATGTACATCTGAGCACAATCGTATCAGCTCTTTATGTGGACTGAGGTGATCTGAGCTCATATACTGTAAACTGTTTCACCCACTGCTTACTGTAAACATGAGTTAATCATCCACATCTCTTCACATGTTCTAATGAAACTAATACTGATGCACATGAACGGAGAATTTCTATTGTAGATTCCATTGGTACCTACTAAATACGAATTTGGTTTTGGTCTTTTTTTGTTTTTATGTAACCGGCGAGTTCCCACTGTTTTTGTCACTTGCCTCAAACGATCTCTCAAAGTTCTGGAACTCCTTCAGTCGCTCCTGAAACCCTTCCGCTAAAGCTCCTCCTATAAACACACACACACACATGAATCTTTATCATGCCCTGTTTTTATTATGTTTACTGCATGTTAAGGGGAAACCAGTAGTGCAACCCACCAATAACTTTAGGGCAACCAGTAGCACAACTAACAATTCAACATCTAGCAATACAATCACGCTCAGTCTGAATTACCCATTCCGACAGTTTGCAAATGTGGCTTTCACAAACCACAAATATTTCAGTCAGCCAATATATCACTAATATAAATTTTCACATATGTATATATTTAAGTAAATACAATTTCATTTAAATATATTTTATATAGTACATATATTTTAATATATGTATTATATATATCATTAATGTGATATATGTCACTAAAATAGTTTTTTTAAATAAATAAATTTACTAGAAAAATATAAATCCCACACACTAATCTTGCATCAACATAAAAAATATTTGAATATAATGAGCAATGTCTCGGTCAATCGATCTTCCTCAGGCTTTACCCAAAATGTACTGTAAGACTTGAAATGTTATTTCCTTGCCCATTAAAAGTATGCATTTTTGGCAGATTTGTGCATTTCAAGGTTTAAACTAAATATCTGTTCACTATGTAAAATATATTTACTTGAGTCAAGCTGTGTACAACATATATTTAGCTTAAATTTGAGATGGAAAAAAAATGTTGCTACAGCTGATCAAACTCTATGAAATCATGCATGAAATCACTTCAAGTTTTAGTTGAAGTGATTTCATGCTTTTTTCATGTTTTCAGTTTAAGTCTGAAATGCGATTGAAATGTCAAGCATTACGACTGTCATAAAAGGCTTTACAGCTGCTGTTTTGGCAGACTGTCATGTCAAAGGTGAAGTGTTTTCCTGTGTCTGTTAATTAACCCAATATCTATAAAAATAAATAAATCAGCATGAAATTTCAATTATTTGAAATACCCGAATCTGATTTCCATCCGCTAGATGTGATGCTGGCTCGTGAATCCCTTTAGGATCACGCTCTTACCCGTCTCTGGCATACCCTGCGCCCGCTGCATCCGCGAGTTTAGCACCTCCTTCGCCGATACGAAGAAAATACGATTCGGTGCTTGGGCGCGATCCACAACCTTCAGCTCCTCCACCAGGAAGTCCACGCACCTGTCCGTGTGCTGCTTTCTCACCTGAGACCATAAAAACCACCACAAACAAACAACATGTGACACTGCAGCACAAAAGCAGTGTTAAGTCGCTGGGTTATATTTGTAGCAATAGCCAACAATACATTGTATGAGTCAAAATTATGCATTTCTCTTTTATGCCAAAAATCATTAGGATATTAAAGCTGCAGTCCGTAACTTTTTTTGGTTAAAAATGATCCGAAATCAATATTTGAGCAAGTACATAACCAGCCAGTGTTCAAAACTATCGCCTTACTTTAGCCCGATTCACAACGGTTAGCTTATAATAATGTTTTCTAGTTTGAGTGGTACGGGTAGGTTTTCTCAGGAAATTCGAGCATGCTGCTGCGTCATTACGTCACGTCTGTAAACATAAAGAAGTTGTCCCGGCTACTAGGCTGTCGCATGTGAGGATCCTGCAGGTGACGGATCGCGTGGTCCAGGGTCACATATTTACAGATACATTCATTTTGCTTTGGGAAAACATGCAGTAGTGTTTGACCAAAATAGTTTTTTTTGATAAACGACGCCAATATCTTACAGAGCAGGTTGACCAATATTAAGCTGATATATACACTGTTGCTAACTACTTTCAGTGGAAACTAAAGTCTGCTTGCTAAATGTTATTAAATTGTCATACTGGCAAGTCTTGGAAACTGGATACGGTTTGTGCAAGTTACTAGATTTGTCACTCGGTGACTTTTTTGAATGTCGATATCGTACCATTTAATTTAAAGGTAGTAAAAACACATGCATAACAATTGCTAAAATGGAATTTATATTTATTTTGCATAACATTTACTAAATTCATATAATTATTATTTATAATAATTCTTGCTATTATACTATATTATCATAATTTAAAAATATGGCAAAAAACATCTGAACTTGATAAAAAGAATCTGTAAAATAAACATATTTCTTTAGATGGGAACTACTTATTCTGTAAATCTATTCTAGTGTTTTTCACAAATAAAGGTCAATATATCCGCCAATATTTGCCATTGATTAATTATTGGCCGAGAAGTGTTTCTGTTTGGCCAAAGTGTCAGAAGTGGGACTTTTATTTTGACAGTGCTGAGAAAGCATCACCCAAATTTTAAATCCTTAAATTTAAATGACCTTGTTATTAACAAAATATTATTAAATTGTTAATAATATTTTGTTAACAACAAGGTAACCAATATTTGCCATTTATTAATTATCGGCATTGGCCAAGAAGTATTTCTATATTTGGCCAAACAGAAACACTTCTCGGCCAATGCCGATAATTAATCAAATATTGGCGGATATATTGACCTTTATTTGTGAAAAACACTAGCAAATTTTAAATCCTTAAATTTAAATGACCTTGTTATTAACAAAATATTATTAAATTGTTAATAATATTTTGTTAACAACAAGGTAATTTTAATTTTATAGTTTAAAAATTTCTTTGAAAGTTAAAATTTTTCTTTAATTTACAAGGATTTAAAATCTGGTGATGCTTTCTCAGCACTGTCAAAATAAAAGTCCCACTTCTGACACTTTGGCCAAACAGAAACACTTCTCGGCCAATGCCGATAATTAATCAATGGCAAATATTGGCGGATATATTGGCCTTGGTGATATATACTGGTCGAGCACTAATCTGTCGTGAGCCGAGTAAACTCACGTCCTCCATGTATTCGGGTTCGGCAGCAGAAGCGTCCCAGCGGTTGTTCAGGATGAAGATGTTGGGCTTTGACAGGCATTCATTGACCTTGTGGAAGAAATGCTTCTCCTTTAAAAAGAAATAAAGAAGAGGTTGAGTTCACTAGAGGTCGTGTGATGGAAACACACACACACACATGCTGGCAGCGTAAAGACAACACACGTGTTCACTCTTATCTAATCAGCTGTTGAGTAGCAATAAACTACAGCATTCACATACACATACACATACACATACAGTCTCACGCACACTCACACACACTGGCAACGTAAAGACAACACTGAACACACTCACACACACACACTCACACACTGGCAACGTAAAGACAACACTGAACACACTCACAGACACACACACACACACACACACACACACACAGGCAACGTAAAGACAACACTGAACACACTCACACACACACACACACACACACACACACACACACACAGGCAACGTAAAGACGACTCACATGTTCACTTTAATCACTCTGAGCAGCAATAAACTACAGCATTAAATGAGTGGAGCATGAAGAACATGCACTTAAACAGAACTACAGGAACATCTGAACATCAAATGAGAAATAATTTGAAATATCTGAAACATTGATATTTGGACATATTTGAAATATTGGCTTGTTCAGAACAGGGCTCAAATTAAAGTCATAAAAAATGCAATACTTGAAACAAAAATAACTTTATCTAAAATAAAATAAAAACCCTAGCTAGTTGACAAGGCAAAATTTTTATTTAACTTAATGTACTGAAAAATCAAACTGAAATGAAAAAAAAAATCAAACAAACAAACAAAACTATACAGACATGCATAAAAAAGACAAAAAGAAAAATACAAAAAATTTTAACAGCAATTAAAAATCTCTCACGCACACTCACACACACACACACACACACACACACAAACAGGCAACGTAAAGACGACTCACATGTTCACTCTAATCACTCTGAGCAGCAATAAACTACAGCATTAAATGAGTGGAGCATGAAGAACATGCACTTAAACACAGAACTACAGGAACATCTGAACATCAAATGAGAAATAATTTGAAATATCTGAAACATTGATATTTGGACATATTTGAAATATTGGCTTGTTCAGAACAGGGCTCAAATTAAAGTCATAAAAAATGCAATACTTGAAACAAAAATAACTTTATCTAAAATAAAATAAAAACCCTAGCTAGTTGACAAGGCAAAATTTTTATTTAACTTAATGTACTGAAAAATCAAACTGAAATGAAAAAAAAAATCAAACAAACAAACAAAACTATACAGACATGCATAAAAAAGACAAAAAGAAAAATACAAAAAATTTTAACAGCAATTAAAAAAAATATATATATATATATATATATAAAAGTATCTCAATGATACTAAAATAACACTGATTCATTTATTTATATAAACTTTGTGTTTTAAAAACAGTATGCACACATATGGAGGGATTTAACACTAAATTAAATAAATATATTATTAAATTATTAAATAAGTCATGGAACGTTGCAATTAATAAATAAAAGTATGATAAAATGTAAGCATAAATTAATTCATTAAATAATGTGAATGACAATTTTTTTTCATGTAAAATAAAAAAGGATGTGAAATACAAATGAAATACACCTTAAAATGCAACAGACAACATAAATCGATATTTCATGATGTATTCAAATATTTTATGATAACACTGATTCATTTATTTATATAAACTTTGTGTTTTAAAAACAGTATGCACACATATGGAGGGATTTAACACTAAATTAAATAAATATATTATTAAATTATTAAATAAGTCATGGAACGTTGCAATTAATAAATAAAAGTATGATAAAATGTAAGCATAAATTAATTCATTAAATAATGTGAATGACAATTTTTTTTTCATGTAAAATAAAAAAGGATGTGAAATACAAATGAAATACACCTTAAAATGCAACAGACAACATAAATCGATATTTCATGATGTATTCAAATATTTTATGACATATTGATTTGTTTTATGCTGTCTGCTACATTTTATTTCACATGGTATGTTCTTTTCCAAATTATGCATTAAAACATTCACATATCTATGCTTATTTCACTGTACACAGCAACATTACAAGATATAATTTTATACATTTCATTTAATCCGTTAAATCCCTGCACATGAATA